TCAGCGGCAAAGCGCCTGCCTGGCAAGCGCAAGGTCGTGAGTTCGGTTCCCGGTACCGGAGAAAAAACAAAAAAAAAAAAAAAAAAAAAAAAAAAACAAAACCAAATGATATGACTCTGGATTTCCACTTGTTTAAAGTAATAATACCAGTAGTAATAATAATAATAACAACAGTAATAATAATAATGATAAAACACATACCCCTTGCCATATGTTTGGCTTGGTGTTTATCTTTTCCTTATGGAAGTAGAGAAGTTCTGAATAGTTGAGCTGTCTGACTGTGCTCAGAGATGATTAAGGACACTGAGTATTGGAAGCAAAAGCACACTCACTTTTTCCTGTCTTAAAGGCTCCATCTGCTTTGCGAACATGGGGATCGCCATGCTGGAGCCAGCCTTGCCCATCTGGATGATGGAGACCATGTGTTCCCGGAAGTGGCAACTGGGTAAGGAGCAGGGCAGCTCTTCTCACCCTCCTCAGGACCTTTGTCCCCAGGGTGGGTCCTGTCAGTGTAGCCCTCCTGAGCTACCTACACCAGAATAATAAAGTGTTTACTTCCGCTTGGCTCTTAATAGGGTCAGTGCCTAGGACAGCTTTGGGGTCTGCTTGGGCTCCAGACTTAGTATCTTTCGGGATAGGTGCTTCAAGCAAATTTTACAGTGAGAAAGAGACAGAAACAGAGGAAAAGGGAGAGAGAGGGGGAGAGGGGGAGAGGATTCACATACCTTTTATTACAGTGTATTGTTAAATTGCTCTATCTCTTATTCATCGCTGATCTCTTACTATGCCTGTTTTACAAATTAAATTTTAGCATAGGTTTGTGTAGGCTGGGAACTGTCTGCAGTTTCAGGCATCCACTGGGGGTCTTGGCATGTGTCCTCCACTGCTAAATAGAAACTGCCATTGGGTCACTGTGTTTTTTGTTTTTTTTGTTTTTTTCCGGTACCGGGAACCGAACTCACGACCTTGCACTTGCCCGGCAGGCGCGTTTGCCCCTGAGCTAAATCCCCAGCCCCGGTCACTGTGTTTTGTTACGTTGGTGTTTGGCACTGCCATGCTTGTGAGTGTAAATATTGTTTCAAGCAGAGCTTTGTAGGATACTGTGATTCATCTCCTTTCTTTGTAGATTATTAATACATGAATTAGTCATTGCCTTGTCTTTTCGTTTTCTTAGTTTTCTGTGTAGCACGAATGGGTCCAGCCCCCGGACTTTGGCAGAGATAAAAAAAACCTTGAAGTGTAGTCAAGTGTATCAGCAGCATGACGTTCGTGTGGCCTCGCTTCTTCATGAACGTCTGTCCTGACTCTCTGGTCTAGACGTGGTGCTCTCTGGGCTGTACTGGGGCTTTCTGCCCTCCATCTGGGCATCTTCTTGCCTCTTCTTTTTCCTGTGCCCTCTCCAGTGCCTTCTCTCAGCTTACCCCTGCGTCACGAGGGACCGTGTCCTGCAGCGGCTTTGCGGATGGTGCCTGGCCAGTGATGTTCTCTGACGTCTTGCATATCATCAGATAACTTTACCCTCACCTTCCACTGGCTTGACGTAATCTGCATTTGTATGTGCATGTGTGTATTTGTGGTCACTGCTGAAATGATTCCCTCTCAGGTTTTGGAGGAAGACTTTCCTTAAGTCCCTCTTTCAGCCCCTCCATTACCCTAGCCTCCATGTTGCCTGGGGGTGGGGAGTCCAGGGCCCCCGAATCATGTCTGTTGCTTTAGAGAAACTGCCTCTTTGCCAGGGTGCGGCTGGAGAACTGAGGATCAGTGCTATTCAAGCAGCCTTCCCCCTCTTTAGGGACAGCCTTGGCCCTCAGTGGATCCCCCTGCATCTGAGCCCTTGGCCCCTGCCCTTTGTGGTTTATGAGGCTCAGGGGTCTTGTAGCTTGTGGGTGTCTAGTTCCTTATGCAGGCGGGAGGTTCCAACAGTCCCTGTGTGTTCATCCTTGTCTGTCCCCTCTGCATGCCTCTCCTGGCTTCTTCTGTCTAGTGGGATGTATGTCTAGAACTTTCACCTGCTCTTTCAATAACATTTCAGTAGAGTTTGGTGTCGGGGAGTAAAACCTATAGATTCAGTCTGCCTTGTTTAACTGGAGGCCTGTCACTCATTCTCACTGTTGTATATTGTTCTCTTGTAAAGTTATGCATAAATTTTCACCCATCCTATTTTGGGGTGTTCGGGTTAGTTCCTGCAGAAGCTATCTTTCTTGTGCATTTCCCCTTGTGTCTGGGAATTTATCTGCAGGGGCATGTTCTGTATCTACTCTTAGTGCACTAACACAGCTTTTATCAGTCTTTAGTCTTTCCTAGTGACTGAAATGCTATGCATTCAGAGAGTCCTGTTTTAATTTAATTTAATAACTGCGTGAAATGAAGCTTGTTTATAGGTTTATCAGCTGTGTGTATTTTCTTTAGCATAAATTTCTTAATGATACACTTTGTTCATTTTTCTGTCAAGTTGTTTGCACTTCTATTGATTGTAAGTGTTCTTTGTATATAACGTGATCCTTTATCAGAAGTTCTACACATACTGCCCCCTTTGCTATGTGTCTTTTGACTTTATGTGTGGTGTGCTTTGCTGCTCAGAACACTTCAAATGCCTCTAGTGAGATTTAGCAGTCTTCTCTTTTGTCCTTTCAAGTGTATCTCAGAAAGGTCTTTACTATACCAAGATTTTTTTAAACCACATTTATGGCTTAGATCTAGAATGTCTCTCAAAAGCCTCACATGTTCAGAGGCTGGGCTTTTGGAAGGTGACTGACTGTGGGGCCGCTGTACTCCTTTAGTGGACTGACCCACTGACAGATGCAGAGCTGAATGTGCTGGTAGGAGACAGGGTCTGGATGGAAGAAGTGGGTGACTGGGGAGTGGCCTGGAAGGGCGGATCTCTCTTCCTGGCTCCTCCCTTCACTTCCTGCCTCCTGGCTGAGCACCTTTCCCTACCCATGCCCCTCTGCCATCCTTTCTCCTTGCAACCAGCCTATCATGAACTGGAGCTGTGAACCAAAATAAATCTTTTTTCCTTTCAATTGTGGGTTTTGGCTATTGTGTCTTAGCAACAAGGAAAGTGACTAAGATGATACATTATTTTTTTACATTAAAATGTTGGACTTTTATGGAATCAATGTTGATCTAAGGTATGTGGGATATAAGTTTTTTTGTTTTGTTTTTTTCTGTATGACCAGGTTTTGTCCCAGGGCCTTTCCTCTTGAGAACAGCTGATACCCCCATCTCTTGTCATTCCCTGGATGAGCTTGTGGGTCTATTTCTGGATTCTCTTTTCTGTCCTACTGACCTGTATGTCTTTTCTCTGTCAGGACCCCAGTACTTAATCACTGTGCCTTTGGAATGTTGCTTAATATCTGGAACGCTGGTCCCCGCACATACCCCTTTTTCTCTAAGAATTTATTGATTACCTGTCTTGGAGATTTATTTTCCTTTCATAGTTCTTGCAAGGCACATAGGGATATCTTTGTAGGGAGTCTCTCAGTTCTGACTTACTCTGGCATTTTCAGTGCCCCCAACTTTTCTGCAGGTGACCTGCATTTCCCTCAGGCGTCAGCCCTCTGCAGGGTGCCTTGTCAGAAGCCCTTCCCGTCTAGACTTTCCCCTGCTCAGTCTGCCTCACTGCATGTGGTCCAGCCTGAGTATCAATCATTCCCTTCCAGTTCAGCATTGATTTTGCACCCTTTCATCAAACAATCCTTAAAAAGCCCCAGTGGGCTGGGGATAGGGGGCTGCAGATGGGGGAAGACTGCTTGCTAATGGATAAGACTTTCCTTTGTGGGGTGATGGAAATCTGGATTCAGGTAGTGGTGATTATTGTACAACCTTTAGAATATAAGAAAACCCACGAAACTGTACTCTGAAAGAGTGAATTTTATGATGTATGAATTATGTCACAAAACCAAAACCAAAACAAACCCCAAATAAGAAGGAGAAAGGACAAGGAGCTAAATGAACGCTATTTCTTGGACAGAAAAGGCAGCTCTAAATTTTCTAGCAGTGAGAGTGAAGGGGAAATCTAAGGACATCAAGGGTACTGCGGAAAGCACGCTGCTTTGCAGGAGGGCTGCTTTTTTCTATCACTTGATTAGTGCAGAGCAGTTTTGCAAAAGAGCAGGACATTTCCTGGTCCCGCTCGCAGTACCTGCGGCTGCCGTGGTGGAAGTGTTTCCCAGTGTCTCCTTCCTTCTGGTCCCCGGGAACCAGGCCTCGGGTGTTCTCGGAGGGGCCCATCAGTCCAGGTGGAGCACACAGACCCAGTCAAGTGCCCTGCATTTGCCCCATGCACGCTCTTGGCTGAGAAGCTTTTCTAATGTCTCTGGTGTCTCCACTTAACCGACTTATGATCCTAATTGAATGTGTCCTGGTCATGTACAGGGTACTTAAGCTGCTCTGCTCTCATCCTCCGCAGACAGAGCCTGAGGCTTCCTTTATAAAGACTTTAAGGTCAGCCAGGAGCCTACGTGGGAGATAGCAGGGCAGGCTGCCTGATGTCACCGGGCGAGCATCCTGTGCTTATCCAGGAATGGTGCCCTCTCTGGGCCCCTTCAGCTCCATGAAGTGTCTTTTCTCTGGGTACCTCCTGGTCTCTGAATGAGAGGGGCTGTGGGGGACAGGCGAAGGAGTCCCTGCACAGCAGAAGCTCACTGCAGTTTGGGTAAGGCTAGCAGACCAGGGTGAAAAATGGAGAGGTAGATTTGCCTGTAGTGACAGCACTGAGGCTGGACCAGAAGGGCTGTCTGCTAAGGGCTTTATGGTGCATTTTACTGTTGGAGCGTCAAAAGTACCCTGTGAGATGTGTACAATGGGAGCCGTGGCAATTTCTTGGGCTTTATGGATTATAGGGATCGCTGTAAGCCTCCGGTAGCAAGTTTTTCTTGTCTGCTTTTTGGTGTAGAATCTTGAGATGGAGTTTGAGCCCATGGAAAGTAAGGTCACTCTGCTTCTGGGTCCTACATGTGAGCTTGCCATCCCGCTCACAGTGGAATGATATGGCTTCCACTGCAGCTTGTCCGCATCTTTACTTGAAGCTTTGGCTTTGGAGCCATAGCCCAGGCTCAGAACCTGAAGTTAGGACTCAGCAGGAGGCTTGGAGTTCCAAAACGCTCTCTGTGAGCCAGAGCTTAAGCCATCAGACTGTGGGCCAAGTTCAGCTCCGAAGTAGTTTTTTCCCCTGCTTCATATTAAGGTTTAACCCGGGCCCTTACGCATCCTTACGTGTGTTAAGCAGGAGCTCTACCACTGAGCTACATCCTCAGCCCTTAAATAGTGGTGTTTTTTTGGTTGGCTGGTGTGATGTTGACCTGCATAGAGTTTATCTTTTTTAAAAACTGAATTGCCAGCATTTAAAAATCAAGAGATTTCATCCAAGAACCCAGAGTTCCAGCTTATCCAGAAAACCCAGATATTTTAAAACTGGAACTGAAGTTGCCTGGCAGTAGCTGGCTGGAGAGAGTGGTAGCTGCCTTCTCAGGTAGCGTCGGGGCCTTGGAGTCACCACTGGACACCCACCCCAGTTTTCACTTTGTTTCTCTGACTCTAAAGTTGAATGTCAGTAGTTCTGTGTCATGTACCTGCATAGTTATCTTCCTTACAATTTGCCTTCATTCATCTATGTGTCCCTGCCCCCTGAGTCATTTATCATGAGCCAAGGTCCACCTGATTTGTACTAGCCAGACGAACTCTGTTGCTAGAGTGCGGAAGATGTGCTGCTCACCTTTCGGAGGCCAGGTTGAAGTAACTGTGTTCCCAGGGCAGCTTGCCAGCTGCGGGCTCAGGGTTCTCAGCGCGGTGTCTGTGCTTTTGTTACATTTTTACTCTTGTTTTTGTTTTTTTGTTTTTCTCCGGTACCAGGAACCGAACTCACGACCTTGCGCTTGCCAGGCAGGCGCTTTGCCGCTGAGCTAAATCCCCAGCCCCTCTTTTGTTACATTTTTAAGGAGGCCATGTCTCAGTTCAAAAAGCATCTGATTCAAAGCCCTTCCCATAGTGACAAGAGTCACGTTGTCATTGTCTCTGCTGCACCCCAGCGCTGTGCTGGGCACATGGCTGTCAGTAAATGTTTGCTGAATCAGATTAGACTAATTATGTGGCTACTATGTATTGTTAAGTGTGATGGAAATGATTCTCTGGAACATGAAATGAGATTGCTTTTTATTATTTCCCAGAATTTCCAGATCTAGAATGATTTGGTTTTGGATTTTCCATATGGAACTTATCACTTTGAAATCCCTGCTGTGCTGGAGGCTTGACCTTTCCCTGCATTTGATGGCTAATCTTTAAAGGGACAAGATCACACTTGTCTCTTTGTATGCTGGTGGACCAAAAAGGCCCCAGGCCCTCTGCATTTTGGGTGTAGCAGTTATTTGCTGACCATCTAGTATCTACCATGTATCTCTAACTGGCACAACCATGATTGAGAAGAAAGCAGCTTTTACCATTTGAGGGCAAGGCTTTGAATCCAATAGGTTGTATCTGATTTCAAGAAAAAAATACTAAAATTACTGAGTTTTAAAAATCTCTCCTAAACAGATTGTCCTGTTGTCCTAATCATACAGTGGAGCTGAGGTGGACAAACTGCTCTTAGCCTAGCCTGGTTGGACTCAGGCCTTTCTGTTTAACATGGGAACCTGTTCAGGGCGGGCACTGCCCCAGCCACCAGGAATCGCTCCTCACCCATCAGAATCCAGGGGTTGCAAGCTCCCTCCCTGGAAGACCATTAAACCTTGCACATAAAACTGCAGGCTACATATGTGTTGTGTTTTATTATGTGGACTTTGTTTTTGACATGGAGAGATGTTCATAAGAACTAGTTGAAAAAAGCAGATGTAGAGAAGTATCCCATATAGTAATCCCACTTGCACAAAATCATGTAGACACACATACACACACACACACACACACATGTGTAAACTCACAAGGGAAAATAACAGTGATGGGCTTTGGGTAATTTCAACATCTTTCTTTTTGTTTATCTTAATTTCCCCTAATTCTCTCAGTGACCATGTCTTACTCCTGTCACAGGGAGTCAAAAAGGAGAGGAGGACATGTACATATATGCCAGGCACACTTAGGTGCTGGCTGCGGGGCTCCCACAGTTAGGAGCTGTGTAAAGGGGACAACATATTGTTTTCTGTGTAAAGCCGGCCAGAGACAGAGCTGGGGGTGAGATGAAGCCACTGATAGAGAAATGGGTTTCATTTCTAGAGTGGCTCAGCAGCTTTGTGGTGTGGAAAAAAAGGTGTGGGGTTCAGATTGGAGCTGTCAGGCGCCGGATATTAGCTGCGTGGGTGCAGGCCCCAGGGCTTCGTTTCATCTGCTGTAATCAACGTGGCCGTGTCTATGATTATTAGTTTTTCTAACATGTGACTGTTATCAGTACTGATAAGGTGTCCTTTTCATAAATTTACAGGCATTGCTTTCTTGCCGGCAAGTATCTCTTATCTCATTGGAACCAATATTTTTGGGATACTTGCACACAAAATGGGAAGGTAAGATTAAATGAATTCAGCATTCATTCTGTTATAATGATAATAATGTAGTTCTTTTAAAATATTTAAAGTATTTTTGCCTTAAATGCTACAAGTATGGTTTTGATTTCCCTTGAAAATTTGAATAGGGAAAAATAACCCGAAGTGTTCGTTTACTGATGTGCCCTTTCTTTTGATAGGTGGCTTTGTGCTCTTCTAGGAATGGTCATTGTTGGAGTCAGCATTTTATGTGTGAGTAAATGATGGTATTTGATAAGCAGCAATAATCTGGGACTAAAACTTGTTTTGCCCAAGACTTACCAAGCAGTATTTTACCACAGTTAGAGTTTGTTGATATTGTTTTATTATGTCTTTCATTTTATTCTAGTTTTTTTTTTTTTTTTTTAATCAATCTTAAGCATCTTTGGACAAGATTCTCCAGTAGATGTGTTTTTATTTTATGTTAGAAATTATTTAAGATCTTTTATTACATAGTTTTCTTGGGGCAACTAGCCCAAGATAGTAGCAGGATGTTCTTCACAATTAAACATCTTCAAATCAATGGCCAATACCTGCCCAAATGAGGCTATTTGTCTTTATCAAGAATTGAGGGTGGTCTGGACTGACCTTTCACAGATGTTAGGTTTCATGGTGGTTATCTGTTTTCAGCTTGGACTTTAAAAAATTAGGATGGCTGACCCCATCCTTCCTCCTGCCATTTCCTATAGACAGGAATGGGTGTACTAGGATCATGTCCCCCCAAAAGCCCCTCACAGATTTTAAAGACTTTTCCAATATTACTTAGAGTTAGATATCTTGTTTTAGTGTAACATTTATTTCCTTTTGCAGATTCCTTTTGCAAAGAACATTTATGGGCTCATCGCACCCAACTTTGGAGTTGGTTTTGCAATTGGTAAGTCCCGTGAGCCTGATGCCTAAATGTGAAACTTCTTTCCCTCTAGGGGAGATTTTCTTTTCCTCTTCTAGAGTAAATAGACTGTAGTTACTGGTCCAAGATTTATAGAAACTTGAACAGAGGCGGCCAGCAGCTTAGACCAGTGACAGACTATAGATCATCCAAAAAATACTTGCTTCCACGTACTCATTTTTTTGTTATTTCCCGAAAACCAGTATTTTTAAAACCCTGATATTTACAGGAGCACACTGATGTGATGCTGGTGTGCTTGGGCAAATGGTACTTCCTCATGTGAAACCCATTTGCCCAGGCCCGGCTCAGTGAACAGACCTTCCGAGGTGAGGCTGGGAACAAAGATGTCACATATGTTTTTATAGGGTGCGGTAAAGGAAAAGCAGACCAATACAGTACCGCCCACTGCACTGCAAGAATTTTCACAGGCTGAGGAGATGGGTCTTAATGTTAGGGAAAAGTCTTATTATTTTGAAGGAACATACTGACTGATCATGGCAAAAATAAATGCCGAATCTGTCACACCAAAAAGGCAGGAATTTAATCTTGGAGTAGTACTACACAGAGGACGAACAGAGCCTTTTCTGACTCCCAGATAGGGTTAGGATTTCTTGGTGGGCCCTGACAGCCCCTTCACAGCATCAGTCCAGCAGTGATTCATTCTTCAAATCTATTCTTATTGTTCAATTCTTAAGTTTTGTTTGATCCTTTGTCCCCAGCATGTTATACAGAACAGGCGACCAGCAAATACTATTTGAAAGAAGGACATTTTCCTCATCCACGTGCCTGCCCCCTATGGAGGGGAGGGAAATTAACACTTAAAGTTTTTCACTGGTTGTGTTTGTAGGCTTTGGCCAGCCAGCCAGTCCTCAGCAGTCTTTACAGATGGGAAGCAGTGTTTGGAGAGATTAGGCATGACCATGTACACTCCGCCAGGGATTTAAACCCAGAACTCTGAACATACATCCTTATTCTTTGTGCTACCTGCTCCTGCTGTTCAGGAGATCTGAGTCTAATAATGGTCTCTGTTTTAGCCAATTAAATGCGCTAGGGGCTTTGGGTTTATTTTCCTGAGTAGGGCCCGGTGATCTATGAGACTCTTCTGTGTTCTGGTTCTCTGATCTCCCTAGCATTTCCCACATTAGTAACTCTCGTGATCAAATTGTGAGGCCAGTGTGGAAGGGGCTGGATGAGATGTCTGGGGTGCCAAGTGACAGTGGCAAAGGACAAGTGGGTGAGAAAATGGTGAATCAGGAGATTACCACCAGGGACTCACAAGCCAGCAGCCTGCTCAGTCTGAAGAACAGCAGCATGAGTTGCTAGAGGACTGGAAACTCTCCCCTAAACCTCAAGGCACTCAGCAGTGGAGGACGAGGCGAGGAGCAGCAAGTGGTGGCCTAGTCAGGATTCAGCATATAGCCTCGGGTCCTACTCCCAACCCCCGGAGCCCTTCCGCCAGCTGTCCCCAGTGCAAGGCCTGCTCTCCGGGGTCTGCCACTAAACTTGCAGATGGTGATGCCAAAGGGGAAGAGCTGGCAGGGCAGTGGGTTTAGGATGCAGTTCCTGACAAGCAGCCCATTCTTGGTTCACATTAGTTTCCTATGCACTGTGCTCCTGACTGCCTACAGGGATGGTGGACTCGTCGATGATGCCCATCATGGGCTACCTTGTGGACCTGCGGCACGTGTCTGTCTATGGGAGTGTGTATGCCATCGCAGATGTGGCATTTTGTATGGGGTACGCTATAGGTAAGAACGTTGGCTTTCAAAGCAACCTTTTACCTCAATGCAGGACTGATGATATGTCCTGAAAAATACTGCAGCTTGTATTTTCTGTCGACAAGACATTTGGAAAGAGCTTCACCTAATTCTCTGTTTCCCAAAAGGTCCTTCAGCTGGAGGTGCTATTGCAAAGGCAATTGGCTTTCCGTGGCTCATGACAATTATCGGGATCATTGATATTCTTTTTGCTCCTCTTTGCTTTTTCCTTCGAAGTCCACCTGCCAAGGAAGAAAAAATGGTGAGAAAGCTTTAAGATGCAATGAGTATTTCTTGATTATTTTAGTAGGATCATCTGGATGATTTCCTTTTGGCTCAATATTAGAATATATTTCTGTTCCTTTTGGGCAGAAAAGCCACCAGTCATAAATAGTGAGAATTTCTGTTGAATCTGTACCACATAGGGCAGTTACCCATTTTTACTGCCTTTAAAGTAGTTTCTCTGAAGCATTGTTTTTAAACTTGGAATATTGAAATTATTTTTGTTTATAGAGTAGCACCAGCGTAGTTCTTGTCATGTAAGTATGACCCTGGGATAGTTCAATTTTCTATGGTTATTGCAGATCTTGAGCATCATTTCTCTGCCTCTCAAGATCAGGCATTTATAGTCCTGTTTGCTTTTCTTTTCACCCTTACACCATTCAGTAATCGTTGGTGTCTTGGTCCTCATTGCATGTAGGATTCTGGAGCTGGTTTTACATTTTTAGGAAAACCATCATACATGTACCCTGGTATACACATGTGAGCATGTAAACCTTTAAGTTCATAACTGCATAGACAGAATCGTAGCCATAGGCAAGATATAGAGAACAAAATGTTCTTCTTTTGATCAGGTTTAAACTTGTTGATTCTGAATTTGAATTTTGACATGGATGAATCATTTTACCATTTCTTAGAACTTTACCTGACTTAACAAAAGGAATTGCAGTGTTTCTGGTCATTGTTCATAATTGGGGGCCGGGGATATAGCTCAGCGGCACAGTGCCTGCTTGGCAAGCGCAAGGTCGTGAGTTCGATTCCTGTACCAAACAAACAAACAAGTCATACTTGGTAGAATGGTGTTGCTGGTTTTTTAAGTACCAAATGCTGACATATACTTGTCCACCTGACAGAACAGTGTTGTGGATTAAGCATGAATGAGACGAGCAAGGGGGCATGGTGCTTGTGTTTATGAACAGATGTAGGGCTTGCTAGTGGGTTTCTTGGAAGCACATCAGAGGTCCTGTCTGACAGCTGAACTGAAGGGGTCTTAATGCTTTGGCATTTCCTGAACTGTCCGGCAAAGGATGGTTTTCTCTCAAAGTGGGTTTAAAGATAGATCATATGTACACATAACCACCTGCACATGCTTGTCTCCTAGGGATGGTTCAGGATTTTGTGGGGATAGCAGAAGGGCTAGTACAGTCCTGGTAGCAGCTGCTCCAACTCCCTCCCTACACAGGGCTGTGTGAGTCTGTTTCTTTCTCACGGAGGTGTTATGTGGATTAAACAACAGAGTCTCAACACAGTGATTGGTCCATGTCTGGCTTAGTCAATGTGTGATCCTCTCCAGTATCATCTGCTTGTCCTGCCTGCTTTATCAACGCTGTGACTTACTCTGTCCACCCAGCAGCAGCTGAATTTCCTGTCTTCCCTCTGCAACATGACAGCTTCCTTTTGCTGTCCAGATGCCAGAATTGCTGGCCCAGCATCTCTCTCCAGGGCAGCAGACATTAGGGGTGGAGGTGTTATCTCGCTGGGTGGCAGGATGCATGATGGCCTATGTGAGGTAATGGAGGAAATGAATGCAATCAGAGGATGAGTGGGGGTGCTACTTGCCTAGCCAGCTACCATTTTGTGCAAAATGATGGCAGAAGGCAGGCTTAGTACTCTTCTTTCTCCATTTAAATCAGTGCTTCGATCCTTTAAAAAAAAAATGCTGAAGGAAGTGGAAGAGACAATCCTGAAAGACAGCGGCAGTTAGAATTACAGGTTTCCAGAAAGCCACTTTCACTGTAAAATGTCACAATCCTTAATAGGTGTCTAGAAAGATAAATCATTAAAGTCTTGAGAAAATGTGCATCTTGTTGCCCATAATCGAAGGATGCCATTTAACTGGCATAATGGTAACACTGGAGGCTGGGAACCAGCCGCTGCTGCCTGCTCATTGTGGAAGCAGAGCAGGAAAAAAGCCGGTGGAAGCTAGTAGCATCTAATAAGGAGGCATGCAGTCAGGACAGCATGTGCCATGGAGGAGAATGGATTAGTGCGCACTTGAGAAACCCTGTGTAGACAAGCATTGGTATTTAGGATTAACAGTGGCCCAGGGTGGGGTTGTGTGAGCCAGAAGGCATGCAACCCTGAGCAAAGAATTCTTTCGTTAGGAGCATCCTGGTAATAAGGTGTTTGCACTTCAGCTGTTGGGTATGGAAAGACCTGATGCTATTTTCATGGATCACAAGTCAAGGAATCATGAAGTAGCTTGTGAGAACTTGAGTGTTTCTTCTATTTGGTTTACTGGATTTTTGTTTTTTAGTAATCAGGTCATCAATAGAGACAGAGAGAAAAACTTTTTATTGAAATCTCTCTACAAGTATAAGAAATACCAACCCTGCCACCTGAGGAAAAGTGTTCCAGTGATGAGACAATTTACACTGCAACCATTAACCCTCAAAATACTGAGCTAATAGCTAACTTTTAGTGAGGCTGTTCCTTTTCCAGGTTGGAGAATTATTTCTATTTTTTTAATCATGTACTTTTATTTTTGTGGTACTGAGGATTGAACTCAGGGCCTTGTGCTTGTTAGGCAAGCACTCTACCACTGAGCTACATCCCCAGCCCTGAAGAATTAGTTTTAAAGGTAGGGAATGTCTGTTTGTCTTAGTCTTAAGACTAAAACTTGCCAGAGCAGGAAAGGAGGATCACAGCTTTTTATTGGATGGTGCTGATGGTGATTTTGCAAAATCCTCCAGCAACAGCCTCTTGGGCTGGGCATAGTGTGGCTAGAAGCCAACAAGCCCAGACGCATATTATATATATTATATCCATGTACGTGTTATAATCCATTTGTACATATCTGTCCCTTTGTTTTCTCAATTCACCACCCAGGGTTGTTGTTAAGGTGAGGTTTTTCAACTTAAATGTATCCCATGTTCCTGCACAGTAAATGTCAGAGGTATTATCAGACAAGGTGCTGGGTTCTGCATACTTTCAGGAGGAAAAATGATTAGAAGTGTGTGATAGTTTAGTATGCTTTGAAAACAAAGTGCTACTTACTTTTTTGGTCACACTATTGTTTTACTTTTTAGTAACAAAAGAGCACAAGACTTCTGTGTTTCTCAGTGTATTTTTAAAAGATCATACAAGGGATGACTGAGAAATACTGTGACTGTTTAAATTTTAAAATTTATTACAGTAAAAGACATTGTCATTAATCTCCCTCAAAATACCCTTCCTCACTTCACTTATCCCATTGTTCTTGCTACTTTCTGAAACAATCCTGTAAGTTTTCATGTCTTTACAAGGTTTATAAAAAATCAGTCAATGCTGTGCCTAAGTGCTCCCCAACAGAAAGACAGGCTCATCAAGTGTGTTCTCACACACCTTACTGGATCTGGCACTGTGTGGCTTTTCCTTAAAGTCAGAAAGACCACAAAAGGTACATGATTTGAATCAATTCAGAACATCAAGGGAGCACAACAGGGCATCTAAATATATGAAAAGAGGACTTCCAGAACTGCTTCAGAAAGTAGCAAGAATGATGGGGTAAGTGCGTTCAGCGCAAAGGGGATTAATGGCAATGTTCTCTATAATAAAATTACTACATACTTTTACATCACACTTCATACATTTGAACTGTATGACAACCAGGATCTGGGGAGATGTCTGGATATTATATTTAAGAAAAGACAAAAGCCTAGGACGGCTCAGGAAAACATCTAAGGGGCATGGTGATATGATCTTAAAATACTCTGAAGGGCAATCTATGTAGATAGACAAGTGAGACCCCTCCTCACATGTCCTCATGAAGTGCAGTGGCAATAAAATCTGTAAACAGATGTTGGACTGATGACCTCTAGGGTCCTCTCCCCAACCCCATTTCCAAAATTGTTAAGTATAACTCTTCTTAAATCTAACACACCGCTTGGTTCCTCCACAGAGTACAAATTTCCAGAATTGACTTTTGCCCTCCAACAGGTACAATAAAATACTGCAGAGGCCAATCCTGCTATCCTGTTGTTACCTGGGATTTTTGTGTAGCAGACAACTCTAGGTATTCTAGGCCAGGCACTTGGCACTGGCTTCAAATAGCTGGTTAATAGCAGATAATGATACAGAGCTTTCAAATTAGTAATCTTTCAAAACAATAGGTTAAAATTGTCTTATCCTTACAAGGTAATATACTTGCAATTTGCTCTCTTATAGGCTATTCTCATGGATCACAACTGTCCCATGAAAACAAAAATGTACACTCAGAATAGTACCCAGTCATATCCCATAGGAGATGATGAAGAATCTGAAAGTGACTGAGACCCTCAGAAATCATCAAAGTGTTTAATTGTGTAAAAGTGTTTCCAGTGAAATGACTCATCCAGAGCTGTCTTAGTCATACCATCCATTCCTGGTGAAAGAGTACAACAACCAAAGGTTATTATTTCTTTTCCGTGGTTATGATTGACTGCCAACAGCCTTATAAAGAAAAAGAAGCTTTTCTAGGGGTTTGTATAAATAGTGTTGAAAACTTTATTTTATGTATTTGATTTTATTAAATATCATACAATATATTTTGAAGAAATAGGTATATTGTAAATCTATAAATATTTGAATCCAAAGCAAATATAATTTTTTAACTTAAATTCACGAACACTTGGACAAAAATATATTTTTTCTGAATATTGGTAATGAGTGATAAAGCACACATTATCTGAGACTCTTCCAACAAGGAACTAGAAAGAAATCTGAAAAAACAGAATCACATAAGACAGTACATTATGTAGTGACACTGAATGAGTGTTATTTAACTTGTAGTTACTATCGATATATTTATGAGTTAAAAGCTAGTTATCGCAAATGCAGAGGACAAGAACATGAGTCAGTCATCTTTTGGATTTGTCCACAAACATTCACTGGCATTAGTTTTCCATGTAATCACTACCTGGAATGGGATAGTGGTAAGTTACATGTTTACATGTCATATGTTTGGTAGTAAACATTAAAACCAAGAAGAGGAAAACAGTAAATGTTCTGAAAGCAGACAAAAGTACCAAATGCATAGATATGAAAAGCTTTCCCTCTAGGATGTACATCTGACCATCTCACTGGATGAAAATAGTATATATATCTTAGTGTCAAGGTTAAGGGGGGTAAAGTTTACCTACACATAGTTCAAGTTTTAGGAAAAAAGTTTACAAATACAATAGCTACTATAATTTGAAGAAGTTAGAGTATAACCTGACTTGTCTGCAGGTCATCCAAGTGTTTTTTCTAGACATCTATTAATTTTGGGTTGTCTGAAACTATTATTTTCTAAACTCCTGGAAGTCTTTCATGTAAATATGAAAACAAATTGTAAACAAGAATGAAGGAATGAAATGGTCTTTAATCATACTAGCAAAACAGATAAAAACAACAGGTGATCAGGACACATCCCTTTTTCCAGGCAGAAGAGAAAAACCAAACATCTAAACATGTTATTATTTCATCTTGTGTGCTGGGTAGTGTAGTTTTTTCAGGCATGACAACATTGATGTCTTCAGTGTACCAGCAAATACTGTTAGTGAACACTGTCAGTTTACGTTGTTTTGTGTGAGATATGATTGGAATGTGAAGATAGTGTGGAGTATGTCTTATTAAATATTTAATTCTGCAGTTCCATAGTCAAACAAAAATTACCTGGTGTCGATTTTGTTAAGCTAAAATTGTGTTTGTATTAACTTGGACATCAAGGAGCTAAGAACTTTAGAACGAAGACTCCTCAGTCTTAGTCTTATTGACTATTATGCGAAGTGATTAATTTTACTTTGTGAAGTGACTTGTTTTGTTTTATGAAGTTTTACTGTGATTTCCGAGTAGTGTTTGAAGCAAACAAGCTCCTTCCTTGGACAACTACAATTATGAAAGAGGGCCCTAGCAGAACTCTTACATCGCTAAAATAAAAAAGGCAGGATTGTTTTTATTTGTCTACAAGAAGGTTTTAAAGAATGTGCTACAAATTGGAGACGGTTTGTGGTTCTGCCTGCCCCTAATACTATATAATTTATTTCTTTCTATTTTTGCCTTTAAGCCTTCAGCTTCTGTAAGAATGATGGGCAAAGGCATGCCTGCTGATTGATCCCTAGGATTTTTGATAGATGAATTTTTCAGAACTGTTTGGGGAGCAAAAGTTATGTTTTACTTAAGGGGGAAAAATGGTAAGGTCTTTCATATGCTAACATTCTGGGTTAGCAAGACTGAAAATTTAAAAATTATGTATCAAAACAAAAAACATACAGCTCTCTGAACATTTACTTTTTGAACAGAGGTGGTTTTGTTTTCACCTGGTAACAAAACACAAAAACTTCAATAAGGTAGCAGTGGGTATCACCTTTCTTTTGAATGCTAAGTGTATCTCTGTTCTAGTCATGTTTTAGATAGTTTACTTAATAAACCTTATGAACACTGTACTGTGCCTATCTGTATTCTTTCATAAACCAACTGTTGTTGGAATGAAATGTATATGGTATCATTTTGCCTGGATATTTTTAAAACATTAAAAACTATTCTGTGCTGGTAGGCATCAGGTAAAAGTCACTGCAGGATAGTATGAATCATACTTTTTGGTTTTCTACATTTAGACTAAAACAAATATATATGAGGTATGACAGAAATATATAGTGTGTTTAAATAAAAAAAAAACTATTACAGTAAAAGACACATGGCCACTATTTCCCTTCAGAACATCCTCCCTGGCTCTGAACACATCCCATCATTCTTGTCACTTTCTGAAACAGTTCTGGAAGTCCTTTTCCATGAGTCTATTTAATTGTGCTGTTGTGGATGCTGCACTGTCCTGAATCAGTTCAAAACATTGACTTGTCATGGTCATTTTGACTTTGGGGATGAGCCAGAAGCCACCCAGTGGATGAGGACACATCGTAAGTGCATTTACAAGCCTGCCTTTCTTCTAGATGATGCTCAGCAGCAACATTCCCTAAATTTTTTTTACACCACACTTCATAAAGACACAAAAGAGTACTTCCAGAACTACTTTAGAAGGTGGCAATGATAGGTGTGTTCCGAGTTAGGGGGAGGATTTTGAGGGGGCTTAATGACAATATGTTTTACTGTAATGGAATTTTAATTGAAATACTCATTGTATGTATCACCCCCCTTCTAACATGTCACTGTGGAAAAAGTTATCCTTGAATCTCTTACTATTCTGATCGTTATGAACCAAAAACTGCATCTGAGGAAGATACTGAAAATGTCCAACAGGACCTAGAAGTTCTGTAAAACCTTTAAAAGTAGGGGCACTTGGGGTGGTGTGTGTGTGTACAGCTTCCAGGGCTAAGGGTATACATGCACACAATTTTAATTAGATATTTTAAAGGCATGTGGAACTCAGAAAGGATGAGGGGACTCTCCACTCTTCTATTTGGTAAGCAAAACTATTATCTCAATTTAGAAATTAGGACAATATATTTTTAAATTAAAGAGATTTAAAATTTACTTTTAGGGAACTAGAACTTTATTCTTTAGCTTACTATTAGAGCGATATATTTCCCAACTGCCTTTAAAAAAATTCATGTATAAGTTTAGAACATGCCATTATATTCCTTAGGGTGTGTTCTTTCTTATTTGAATCACAGAATATCTGTAACATTTCAATTAGTTATGAATTTAAGAATATGACGCACGACTTTAATAAACAGAGCATAATAATTGTGACTTGAAAATAATGCTTAAAATGTTGCTCATTTTCTCTAGTCATTTATGTAAAAAATCAGTAGAGAAAGTACATCTTAAATAGTCTAATTACTATTATACAGCAAAAGCAAATACATAAATATATTTTACAAATGAACTGTAAAAAATTAACTTTTGCCATTTTGTTAGCAAAAGTAAACTTTGTTAGCTTGTGTTCACGATCAAGTTACACCAGACAATAATTCCATGGAGATGCAGCAATCATCTTTTTTTTAGATGTCATCAAATGAAGATAATTGTTTTGTGTAGCAGTCTTTATTATTTTTAAGCTATTGATAACATAGCATGGCAGCAAGATTACATCAGTAATGTAATACATAACAATTTTTCCCATTGAAGCCTATACTTCACTACACTCTGGGCTGTTTGGAGTGCAGCCTCCTTACACTAAAGTACAACCATGATGCCTCTACTGCTTCAGCCAGCAGATAGAAAAATACTGTGCTACATATTAAGGTATTATTTTACAAAAATCATTAGCAGCATTACTGAGCTTTCCATAACTGTGGTTCTAGAGTTAAATACTTTAAAATATGAGTAGATTCTTATGAAAACAAAGTTTTGCATTATTTCTACAGCTCTTTCAAATGCCTCACTTTCAGGAGCATGCTTGGGTATCATGGTTTAATCCATGCACACCCGCCAATTACAGACTACCTCCCAGGATAACAATGGCAAGGTACTTTTTACAAGATGAAACATGGTTATACACCGGGCAGGTTGTTTCAAGTATACGCTGTAGAACATTTTAGTTTTCAGGGAGTTTGGTGTAGAAAGCCTTCAATACCAGTGTTCTGTTCAAATATGAGCATGCTTAAATAAACAATGAGCAGGGGCGTACCCAGATATATTTTTGTTATCAACTCCATCTCTCTAGAAGGTATTTATTGTCCTAATATTTCACTTAATAAAATGGGAATGAAAGTTGGCTACTGGTGTTAAAACTGGATTAACTTCTGCCCTCAAAGATGTTTTTCTCATTGAAATAACACCTTTTATTTGTATAGCTTTTATGTTCAAAGCCCTTGTGCAGTTATGCTATTTTCCTCATAACAATCCTGTGAGGTAGTGAGAGGAAGTAGTACTACCCTCACTTTAGAGATGGGGAAACTGCTGCATTGAGCTCTTTTGTGACTTGCCTGTGGTCATACAGTTCACTAATGGAAGAGCTCCTGAATGGAGTCTCGGACTACAGACTGGGCCACAGCATTACTGTTATACTATGCCTTTTCCTGCCAGCCATAAAAGCTGTGCAATCTGGTTTTAAATTCATGCCGATTTATGTAAGTATGAACTTATCAGAGCCATTTCCTACAAAAGAGAAAAACATATACATATCTATTTTGTGGGCAAATAACAGGCCCAAACTTTTAAGGTATAACAAACAGGTCAAGCTTACATATTTTCCCTCAGTCATGTGTTATTGGCATCACAAGATGGATCCAATATTGGAATAGATCTTCATTTTCAGAGAAATGGTCTCAAGTCCTATTATACTGTTATTTCTTTTAATGAATGAAGACATTCTGAACTATGGAAGCATTCAGAATGATCACCATTCCTTTAAGCCTGTAAGACCCCAGATGAAGCAATAAATATATTTTGCATGATGCCTCTCCTTCATAACGTATTCCTACATGAAAATGCTTTTTAAAACAAAACTAGTTATCAATAGCATCATTTTAAGAACAATCCTCTGAAACTTTAAATATCCTTGTACATGCTTTATTTCCTATGGGAAAACTGAAGATGAAAAAATCATCACGAATGCTTATTAGAACTTCCACTTAAAAGGAAAGCATTGATATTGTGAAAGATATTTGAAAAATCCTACTGCCTACTGTTTTGCAGTAATTAAATGTTGTTACCTTCTATAAGATTCCTGACCAAATGTATTTAATATTCCCTATTACATTTTGTTTTTCAATGCAAGCTCATCAAATTAATCACTGTATTTGTAATATACTTTAGGTTCACAAAAGCTTTAGAAAAGAATTTCACAGAAGCGTAGAAAGCAAGCAACATATGTAAAAAATGTTTTTTTTACTATATCAGCATAACAGACTAAAGCTGCAGCTTCTGGTTTCATTTTACATTTGGCAAAAACAAAAAGCAATCCCCCAAATCTCAAAATGTAACAAAAGATTCACAACTTATTCCCCCAATGATTGATTCTGTCAATTTGGGCATGCAGCAAATTTGTTGTCACAACCGTGATGGAAATAAAAGTATTTCAAGAATCTGGACTATATCCTATTTAACATTAATTCAAAAAGAACAGGAAGGAAAAATAACACTGAGACATCACATGTACATAAACATGAAAAGTTAGCTTACATAATTACATAATTAGAAAAAGTTAAAAATAAATTAGTAAAAATAAATTCCCAGTATAAATCCAAAAAAGCATAGCTATAAATGCAATCTGAAACAATTGATTGAGTGAGTTGGTCATGTTTTTGCTGGAAAACCTTTTCCGTTCTTTCTTAAGCAAGTAACTGTGGAGAAGCAGGCCAAAGTGCATTACAGGAGGACTGAAATGTAGTTCTATCCATGATAATTTAGATGCATCTTTCTCCCAATCATTTCAGTTGAAACAGTATGTCCATTACACAGACTCGGACGGGCCAAATAAGTCATCTGACATGCTGCTGAATGGCTGAGAGTCTATCAGTTGGCTGATTTCACTATCAAGGTCTTCTTCTGCATCGTCTGTGTATTTGCTTATTTTTTTGGAGTGCTGGTCTAAAGACAGACTTTCTAAAGTTTCAATGTCTTCAATGCCTGCTCTGTAGTGAATCATTAGAAGTGTCAAAGCTTGTAGTCTTTCACCTGACTTAGCCAAAGCAGCAGACAAGAGAGATTTTTTTCTTGTATCAGCTGTCTCTTTTTCTTCTCTAACAAGGGAATTGTTGTGTTCCAACTCCTGATCAATTTCATTCTGCAGTTTATCCAACATAAACTCTAGCTTCTGGATCCTTTCCTCTGTAGGCAAGCCCCTGTACAGATCACGGCCAATTTCTTTAACTGCAATAAAAACACTGTCATCCAGCCCACCTTCCTTCTTCACTAACTTTATTCCTGCGCTACTTCCCCGTTTGGAAGGACTGTTTGGACCACAGACTTCTGTGTCGCTGCCTTCGTTGTCTGATGTGTTGGGTGTGTGTTTTGGTGACGGCTCTACAAGATCAGTCCCAGGTTCAGAAAAGCGAGTTTTAGAGACTGGACGCAAATTTAGCAAACGAGAGCTAGTATTGATAATGTGCCTTGTCAAACCTGTTGTTTTATTGACCGACTTGTTAGTTTCAGCATCAACACGAGGAGGCAAGCCTAAGAGGGGTTCCTGGCCTTCTAGCCTAAGGTTTTTTAGAGTCCGGTCTATCCGCCTCTCAGTTGCTCCACAAAGAGGAGTCTCAGCTAGACATTTTTCCTGACATTTTTTATGGCAAACATAAGCACACAACATACACTGGGAGGCAGCTTTTGTCCATACTTTTTTCTTACAGTAATCACACCACGTTGGGTTTTGGAACTGAGTGTCCTGGAAACTATGCTTATTTTCTGGGGAGCTCATCTGTCCAATAAAGTGCTCCTCTTTAGGGAGGATAGAAACTTCTTCAACTAAGTGGGGTTCTTTTTCTTTCTCTACATTAGCAACTATATGGTGGTCTGGTTCACCTTCCCTCAAATACTTGAAGTGAACAGTAATGTCACCATAGCAAAATTTGTCATTGAAGCCCTTTAGCATACTCAGATTGCGTAGTGCAGTTCTAGTGACCATGGCCTTAGGTGCAGGAGCTTCCAGCCTGAATTTGGAAAGGTATTCCATGTTTGATGTAGCTAGGCATCCCAGAGCCACATCTTCAAGTTTTAAACTAACATGCCCCAAACAGATGAGACCCCCTAACTTGAAAGGATCCCTGCACCACAGTGCAATGTTTAGGTATCTGTGGCAGGCTTCTATGTCAAACAAACAGGATGCTCTGGTTCTTGTCCATTTTCCTAGCTTATTACGATAAAGGATTTCTGATGATTCCCATGTTTGACGGTCATCTGTATTGTCCTTGGTAGGGCAGGAGCTTTCTGAAGTAAAATCTTTAGCCACTTCTTGCTTTGCTAAAAACTGCTTAGATGTGCTCAAATCTTCTACATGATCTATGTTTTTCACCTGCTTTTCAGCAGACTTGTCTACTGGAGTAGGAAGCAGCACCTTCTCTGGCTTTTCACCAAGAACATCTGGTTCTGCCTGATTTGGGGTATCAACAGAAGGCAAAGGAACTTTCATTTGTGGTCGTGGTGGCACAGGTGGTTTGAAAGTGGATCCTTGGGTGGGTTTTGACACTTGTACTGTGTCTGTTACCTCAGAAGTTTTTAGGGCCGATGATTTAGTTCCTTCTTTGGGTGGAATTTTTGGTGGTGGTGGGTGACTTCCTGCAACTAATTTACGGTTTAAAACTGGTGATATAGCGCCAAGGGGTTTAATAGAAAGTGTTGTTGGAGTTCGTTTGGGACTATGACTTAATGATTGTGCCTCATCTTTGAACTCATTTTGTACTCTGACATCACTTGCCAAGTCTTCATATTCAGAATCCAGGTCTCGGTTTTCAGTATCTACTGCCAACCCCGCAGCTTCCTCTTCATAACTTGGTTGGCATGAACTTGACAAAAAGTTTTCTTCCAACTGGCCAAAATTATCTTGTAGCACCACACCTTGATTACTCTGGCCGACGGGCCTTTCATAGTACACCAGAACTCGGTCACCAGCCTGTTTGATAAGCTTCAACACTTGTAGTGTCGAGGTAATTTTCACACCTGGTTTTAAGATTTAAAAGGGAAAACATCAATTACTGCAATAAAAATTACCTACATTTGTTAAATATAATTGCCATTACTTTTTAAAAATGATTACTTAACTAATGGAAGAGTAATAGGGAACCCTTAGAAATGCTTTACTTGATTTCTGGATGAATCATGTCCTGATTCTTAATCTGAAGGTGATGAAATCCTGAGATTCAACCCAGATGATACAAAATTCCTAAGAGTGCCTGCCTAGCTGCTAATCTTAACTGCTTCCAAGTCCATCCTAGGGCAAATGACACTGTTTCTCAGTTTGAACTGAGGAAGTGGGCAGAGAAAAACCTATATTTAAAAGGATTTTATTATGGTTAAATTAGACTTAGAATGATGAGAAGCTGTGATTCTACTGAAGGAAATTTCAAAATATTCCAGCGATTGGAAGCAATGTGATGAATAGTTCAAATTAAAGAGACCAATTTGCTTGATATAAATGTAGCAAAATACTGTAATACGAATAATTGACTCTTTTTATAAGTTCTTTTTATTAGGCATAACCATTAAACTCATCTTTTTCAGGATGACCAAAAAGTGTAAGCTGCTTTAAAACTTAAAAATTTGGTTAATATCTGCATCTATACCATCTATCTTAAATTTTAAATTTTCTAATTGTTATATTAACAGTTTAAAATTCAAAAGGTACAAAAAGATGTTCAGTGCAAAGCTGTCTTGCATCTCTACCTACCAGGCATATGTCCCTTCCCTGAGGGTACCCAGTGTGATATTGAGTATGCTATCATTTAAAGCCTAATAAAAAGAACCTATACAAAGAGTTTGTTTCCTACCACTCTTCCTGCCCTCCCCAAACAGCACTTTCCCACACTCTCCCTTTATACAGGTGGTGCTGCCCCTTTATACAGCTTATCAAAAGGTAAGATAGTGTCTTTGTTTTCCAAAGGAGTCAGGGTTATACTCAATAAATCAAAGTAACATCAGCCTCTTCTAATGACTTTATCTCACGGTTCCTCAAGCTGTGTGCTCTCTTACTTCCACCACCCTGCAAGATCATGCTGTAGACTTGCTCATCAAGTAGAACTTCACCACATCAGAAATATCTCTCATCACTGTCTTTTTATTTTTTACCTCTTGCAATCCTGTCTGGTAGCTGATTTTGTTTTTAAGTAATTTCGCAGCCCAATATCTTTGCTTCTTCCTTCTCATGGTCCCCTTGGTCTTCTGATACCACTTGCTTATCTACCCAACCTGAGTCTCAAGATTACAATGATGTTCTTACTACTATTTGTGATTCTGCTGTTCTGGCTCTTTCTTCTTCTATTGTATACCTGTCTTTTTGATCTCCAGCTTTGTGAGCCCCATCCCTTTTCTGCTCCTGAGCTTACCACCTGGATGTGGCAACAAGTCACTATTCTCTATTTTTGGCAAAGCATTTAGTGCTGCTTAGCTTTCTTTTAGACTGGTCTCTAAATAACTAAGTCTCCAAATGAACAGTTACAAACCTCTCCTATTCCTTAAAGCCCACCTCCCACCTCCTCTCACTCTGCAGATGCTATCGCCTTGTTTCCCCAGAGCACCAACATGAAAGTGCTTTTACTCCCTGCCAGGGATTGTGAGTCTTATTTTGGAGGAGGGCATATCCCTTATTTCACTTTGGATCCTCCTTTAAACTTCGCTTCGTTAATTATCCTAATTTTTATCTTGCTCATTCCCTCTCTGCCTCCTTTTTTCTTTAAAACTTTCCTTGGTTTCCACAAAACTACCGAGGTGGTTGTGGTCATCTCTGGATTTTCTGCACTTACATTTGACTGTCACCTGCAAACATTCCCAAGGTTTTGTCTTTCACAATTTCTCTTAGCCTTCTGCTTCCTGCCTAGTACTCACATCCACTCCAGTAGTTTAATTTCTTTGAGGCAGGGTCTCACTATGTAGTGCAAGCTGGTCTTGAATTCATTATGTAGCCTAGGCTAGTCTTGAAATCATGGCAATCCTCCTGCCTCAGCCTCCTGAGTGCTGGGATTACAGGCATGTGCCACCATGCCTGGCCTCCAGTACTTTTAAATATAGTTAAAAAACTATTCTCTTTTTGTCTTTGGTTGATTTCCCCCTTTCTTAACTCCAGTACTACATGCCCAGCTCCATGTGGAAATCAACCACCTGGCTTTTTCTTTGGCACTACATCTTTGGCATTCTGACTCATCCTCCTGTGCTGACTAATATGAATCAACTTGCTACCACCTAGTGAATCCAATGTGAATCAGTGACACAGGTGATTTCCTCTGCTGCCATTCTAATTTAGAGATCTGGTCCATTTGCCTCCAGTGTTCCAATCCTCCTGAACACTGGCCTCCCCTCCAGTAAAAACCAGACTCTAGCTGTAAGCACTCACTCAGACCTTTGCTACTTCAATCACCAAGCATACTGCTGCCAGATTTTCCTAATGTTTCAGTTTGAAAGCTGCTAGCCTACAAAATTACCCTGAAACTTAAGAGCTAATACAGTTCTTCATGATATATTTAGCCTTAAATGCTACTACTACTTCCCTCTAAGTTCACTATGTCCCAGAAATTGTCATTCACATATGCCTAAATGAAAAATAAATCCATTTAGTGTTCTCTAGAAGGAAAAACTTCAACTCAACCTAAATTCATATATATATACATATATATATGTATATATATATACATATATATACATATATATATGTATATATATATATATATATATATTTTTTTTTTTTTTGATGTGTGTGTGTGTGTGACTTAAAAATTTCTCACCTCAACTCTTCCTTAAATCATCGGCCATCTAAGTCTGGACTGTTCTTTAGGAATATTTGAAACATATTCAAAAGTTGAGAAAACAGTAAAATGAACTCCACTATAGGACCTAACTATAACACTTTGCCACACCTATTTCAACCATGACCAATCTGTTACTAAATATTTTTAAAATGACCATATATCTATAAAAAGGAGCCAATTACAGCTATAAAAATCTTTTTGAGAAATACTTGTTGGGCAAAGATTATAATGTACCAAAAGAAATAAAAGCATGATGCAGGATGACTGCAAGTTCAAGCCAAGCCTGGGTAACTTAGGGGCTTTGTGAGACCCTGTCTTTAATAAAAAAATTAAAAGGGGGCTGGGAATATAGCTCAGTGCAAACGCTCTGGGTTTAATCCCCAGTATTAGGAAAGAAAACAGAATAAAGACTATTTCAAAAAATATATTGTAGGACTTTGGTTTGTGTCCTGGAGTTGCAGCAAAGGATATAGTTACGTGCAAGAAAAAGATAGGGGGAAAGTATATAAAATTTTTTCATTATGTGTACTAACCTATTCTCATCTCAATAAATAATTTTTTAAACAAGTATTACAGGTGGAGAGATCACTTATTTTTTACTCTGTGTATGTTTGTGCTGCATTTTGTTTTGGGAAATATATATTAACCATTCATGTAACTGAAAACTCTAAGAGGGGACATAAAAAAGTTATAAAACCATTTACACAGAACTGTGGTTTTACCAGAGGAAAAATAACTCTAATGTTTATGTTACACAATTATGTAATGTGTAACATACATAATGAGGTCTATTTCATTCGCTTTGAAAGAGTGGGCCAACAGCTCCAGCACCACCTGGGGACCTAACAGACACACACAATCTTGGCCCAGCACCACTGAATCTGGGTGCACATTGGAACACCAAGTCTAGGGGACTGAGATATGTAAGAAAAGTGTGAGAAGCACTGTATATGAAATGATTAGAGGGACTCTGATATGAAAATACTAAATTGGGCTACCAGGTATGCAACGAAATCATTTTCATTATTTTACTGTCAGAAAACTGAATCAAAGCAGAGTTTCTCTGACATCTAACTAGATAAATGCTATTTGATTTAGAAACTGCTCTACCTTAGTTATTGTCTTAACTGTGAGAGAACATACCACCTTGAATTAGTCATTTTCCCATAATGGGACAAAATACCCAACATCTACAACTTAAAGAAGGAGAGGTTTATTATGGCACACAGTGTTTAGAAGCATCCGGCCCACTGCCAGTTATCTCCAAGGCAGAAATGGCACGGCAGAAGGAATGGTCAAGGAAAGGTGCTGGTCCCATAGGAGCCAGGAAGCAGAGAGGGAGAGGAAGGGAGGAGACAGAAGATAACAGCACATCCTTCCAGGTGGCACTCCCAGTGACCTGCCTCCTCCAGCCAGGTCCCACCTTTCATCAGTACGTTCAGCTATGCAGTCATCAGTGGATAAATCCATGGATCAGTGTACTGTCCCCACGATCCAATCACCCTCTAAAAGCCCCATGTCTTAACACAATGAGACATTTGGAGAACATTTTAAATTAAAATGGTAACACTCTGTCCCTGGCTGTCAAAAGGCTCATATCCATCTTATCGTGCAAAATGCGTTTAGTCCATTTCTAAGAGTTGCCAGAATCTTAACAGTTCCAGCACTGCTGAAAAGTCTAAATCCAAAGTCTCTTCAGACACTTCAGGCAAACTCTTAGCTATGAACCCTTGTAAAAATAAAAAAAGAAACTCAAAACAATTCTAGCATACAATGATATGGGATAGACACTTCCATTCTAAAAGGGAAAAATCGGGGACAGAAAGGAATGGAACCAAAGCAAGACTGAAACTGAGCTGGGTAAACACTAAATCTTGACACTCCATGTCTAGCATCCAGGGCAGGTTGTGGTGAGATGTAAGCTCCAAGGGGCTGGGTGACCCCACCCCTATGGCCTTGTCTGTTGCAGCCCACATGGCTCTCTCTTGGGTTTTCCTCAGCAGACAGTCTACATTCCTAGCATCTCTAACTTCCTGGGGTCTCCACTGCACTTTTGGTTTCACTCTCACAGCTTTATGCACTGTTATGGTTTATATCTAAAATATCACCCCCAAAAGTCCTAAGTCAGAGGTGGAGCCAGTGGGAGTGAGTGAGTCACTGGAGGAATAACCTGAAGGGTGTATTTTTGTTCCTGGCTCTTCCACTTTCTCTCTGCTTCCTGGCTGCCATGAGTTGAGCAGCTTTCCTTCACCAGGCCCTTCTGCTGTGCCATTTCTGCTGAGGAGTCAGCCAACCATAGACTGACTCCTCTGACAACTATGAGACAAAATAACATTCTCCTCCTTTAAGTTGTGGGTGTCAGATATTACGTCCAATGATGGGGATGCTGACTAAAACAAATATTGCCTTCAAAGAGTAACTGTGACCAACCATGCACTCAAGAAATTTCTTGACAAGCCTATTAATGGCCAAGTACTATAAGGTCTGAAGAAGCTTGAATTTTGCCCCCAGTGCTGCACACAGCACAGTCCTACTGTTTAGGCAAACATATCCAAGCAAACAATTTGCCTACCAGTAGAGTTTTTGTTATTATTTTTTTTTTTTTTTTTTTTTTTTTTTT